AACATATTTATATATGCATATAACGATATATATAGATATATATATACATATATATATATATTTGTATATAGAGTGAGTTGGCGCATACAACGCACCTACAAAATATATTGTATTTCCCTCTGGTAGCTCCTTCTTTTGCGGCTTCGCCCTCAGCGCGAAATGTGTTTTTCACATTATTTCATGAATAATGCATTTGGCTAATATGCATATTTTATGTGAAATTCGTGCAATAAAATACTATTAAATATTTAGTTGTTGGCAACGCCAACTGCTGTTGCTGTTGCTGCCACTGCCACCAGCGTTGCCTCTGCTACCACGAAGAAGTAGTTCCAACGTTAAGCAAAGCAGTTGCATACCTACCTAAAGATGAGCTCGAGCGGTTTTTTGTCTTTGGTCAACAGCTGTTCGAACTGAGAGAAGATTTCAGATAAGAGTTACAATAGGAACTAATCGATAGAGAAGTGGTTTGAACGGTAAAAAACAGAATCGATATTTAGAGAGTTTGCGTGAGATAAAGAACAAGTTTTTATAAATATATATAGATGGATAGATAGAAATACTGTAGTATAGATAGATTAGAGATTTATAGATCATAGATAAAGAATTCGACAGTTAGATAGATAATTGGATGGTAAGATAGAAAGATGGACAGATTGATAAATAGAGCTAGAGAAACTTATAGAAAATTAATAGTAATTCCTCTTAGCGAAAATCAAACTATTTATCATAAATCTGCAAAGCCCCTAAAGCCACTTAAGCTCTTTAATTTATTTTATTTCTTATTAATAATTAATTAAACTTTTCATATTGAACTAAGTTTACTCTCTATTTAAAAATATTGATTTACTAAAATAGATGCCCAAGTTCCCAAAGACTTTTATTCCATTCCTCTCTACTTTACATAAAAGTTCAATTAACATCATATTGATTTTGAGGCATTCACGGTTTTTATAGCTATTTGGCCCACTGTGCGATGACTGTGTGGTGCGACAAGTTGAAGCACTTTAGAGCGAACTAGGAAGTAAGGTCCTTGAGGATGTTGGGGACTTTGTGGCGTATGCGCAGGCAGAGGAGTTGCCATTTAAATTAATTATTTATTATGCCAAGCATTGCTTCTTATAAAATTAATGAATGGCATGAGCGCAAAAACTATAAAACCGGGCGCGGATAAAAGACGCGACGGTCGGGCGCGAGCGAGACGGAGAGCGAGAACAGGAGACAGACAACGTGCAGAGATGGGCTGGGGGACAGCCGAATGTGGGGGGCGTGTGCGTGCGGTTGGTTGAGTAATATAAATAAATGAATGAATGAATGAGCGTCGAAAGCAGCAGCAAAGGCAGAGGCAGCAGAGCGGCAGAGGCAGCGGCAGCAGTGGCAGCGGCGGCAGCTAGAGAAACAAGGCATGGGGAGCAGGAGGCATATCTTAGTATTTAGTAGTTGGCAGTAGTAGTGAAGGCTAAGAAGCAGCAGGCGCACAGCAAACGCAGCCAGAGCCAAAAAAGGAAGCTCAAGAAATGGCCAAGAGCAAAAGGCAAAGCAGGTGGTGCAAACGGGAGAGAGAGAGAGAGTGAGAGCGAGTGAATGCGAGTGTGTTGGTGCGGATTGTGGTTGCAGACAAGAGAAATAACAAACTTGAGACGCCGCTGTCGCTGCTGGCGTCGCGGCTGGCGTCGCTGCAGCAGTAAAAGCACGAATCGAAAATGAATAATAAATAAAGTGTTATATAATATAAGAAATATAGTCTGCCAGCTGGTGAGAGAGGAGGAGAGAAGCGAAAAGGGAAGGCTGTGTGAGGGTGTGTGTGTGTGTGTGTGCGTGTGGCAAGAGGAAGCAACAAACTACAGAGAAAAGTTCTAAGGCAACAAATAAGGCACAAGCGAAGGAGGGAGGAGAGAGAAGAGCGGAGAGGGAAGAGAAGACACCGCGACGCGTCTGTAGTTTATAGTGTAAACCCTTCCACCCACCCCGCCCACAATTGCTATTGCCATTGCTATTGCTTTTGCTATCTGTGATGTATGAAGGGCTGAGGGGGCGGGCGTCAGTGGCTGGCTGACTCGCTGGCTGGCTGACTGGCTCTGGGTTTTCGGGGGCTGGTGTTGAGTTTATGTGCTCGCTTGAAAAATAAAATTAAAATTGCATTAGGAATCCAACGGGTTTTTATGGCCGCGCGGTTGGGGCGTGGCAGACGTTACTTGAAGGCTGTTGAAAGACGTGTGTGCGTGTGTGTGTGTGTGTATTAGTTAGGATTTAAGTGCAAGGGCAAGCAGTTAGATTGATATGCCCTATCTATATATGCCATACATATATACATATATAGCTTTGCCAAAATCAATAAAAATGAACGAAGGAAAATCTAATAAGAAATAATAATTTCTTTTTATAGAAATTTTGTAGCGCATAAAGTTAATTAAATAAATTATTATGTGAATGGGGCGTGTGCACACGATGAGTAATTGGCAAGAACAAGAAGACGATGAGCCGCAGCAGCAGCAGTGCTGACAGCGCGACGTCGACGTCAGCGGCGGCAGCGAAGCGCCGCAAATTAAATTAAATGAGTTGAAAGAAAGTTGAATGCGCGCACGCTTCAAAATTGTTGTTGTTTTATGCTATAGCTTCTGTTGTTGTTGTTGTTGCTGCTGCCGCTGCTGCTGGCGGGAAATTGAAAATTTAATTAATTAAACATTTTTGAGCACAGCAGCAGCAGAGCAGCAGCAGCAGCAGCGGCTATATTTTATTATATTGTATGTCGTATATATTGTGCCGAGGCGAGTCTTATAATTGTTAGACGTGACTTGGCTAAGTGAAGGGGGAGGGGGTGGGGGGAATGAATGTTTAGATAGATATGGAATGGGTATGTTGGGATGGGGCTACATAGCTAGCAAGCGGGAGGAGGGGGGGTTGGGTTTAAAGGTCGTCATAATGCATTGGCAAAATGACTGGCAAAACGAACAATGTAGCAATGACTAATGGCTGCCCTCGTTGTAARCAATTATATTGAATTGATATGTGAGTCTTGGAGGAACTAGTGTGAATAATTCCAATTGTCTTGCATATGCCATCAAAGTAAACTTCGTTACAAACAGTTAAATAGTTAGTTATTCATTAAATTGTATCAAGCAATTAGAATCTAATGGTCAAGGAAGCTGCTAAGAGTTTCCAGCAGAAATAGTTGTGGGTATGTCATATATACATATACATATATATTCAGAGTATCGCATTGTATTTTTGTATTGTCATTATCATTAGCATTTTTCTTAATCATTGACTTTGTCATTATGATTATTATTATCAGTTTCTGTACTATTTTTATCATATTAATTATCATTATCATTATCATCAAAATGCATTGCCACTGGGATCATCATTAGCAATATAATCCCCATAATGCCCACCATATGTACTCTCTATAAAGCTAGCATACCAGGCAACATATTGGCGCTCCTTAGCATTCTCTCTCTCTCTCTCTCTCTCTCTCTCTCAGCCTTTCAAGCATTGCAAAATATGAAATATGAAATGCATTCACATTTATTCATTCCGCAAACGATTTCTCAGCTCTTTTGTGCATGGAGAGTATGCCTAGTTAGCTTGGTAGCCATATAGCTGCCATGTCAGAGGCTAATTACGTGTTTTACATAACTCCCGACAATTTTTGCTACTGGCTCCGGCCAATTCTCATTAAAAGTAGAGCAACAACAACAACGACAACGACAACAACAAGTTGGACCAACTGCCCTGACGCTTTGCCATTAACAAAATGCTTAACATAAAAAAGCATTTTTAACGCCATTTTGTAGCGTGGCTATGGGGCCTCTGTGGGGGGCAGCAGCAGCGGCGCGACGTGCTGCTTCGGCTAGTGTAGAATAGCAAAAAGAAACAAGTGAACAAAAAATTCTACTGACTTTTCAATTTCAATTATTCATACATTTTATGACCTTTTTCCTTAACATGCWGAGGCTAACAGTCTAACAAATCCAATCCAAACATGGCCCAAAACCCGTTTCAAATATTTAAGACTTGCACTTCCACACACACACATACACTTATATAGATATATTTATATATATATCTATATACATATAGATGCGCATTAGTATATGCTGTTTTTGTTGCTGTTGTTGTTGCACATAATTTGTACGGCTCTCGCCTGTTGGCCATATAAAATGCATGGCTCTGTGCAGTTGGGCCAACGCTGAGGGGCCTTTAAAAAAAAAAAAAAAAAAAATGGGCGGCGCTACGGCCTGGTCAGCATTGGCCAATGCATCCTGTGGCAGGTGCAACTCTTTCGCTTTTTCTGCTCGAGAAATTAACTACGGCTTTGCCTTCATTTCTGCAACATTCGACTTTTTTTTTGGAGCTTTTATTAATAAATATTAAGAGCTGTTGTAACTGTCTGCGCCTCTGAATTAGAGTTGATAATAATTTATTTAAATTTTTGCTTCAGCTTAATAATTGATTAAATTATTGCCTTATCTGAAATTATAATTTTTTGGCATTTGCCTGAACTGAGGCTACACTCAGCGAAAGTTTCAACAACAACGAGCGTAAGGTAAAAGGAAGTTCTTTGTGAGCGACTTCCTCTACTGTCCCATTGATTAATTTTGGCTTTAGTGTAGTTCAGATAGAGTCATAGCGGATGGCATCAAACTGGCTGAGAGAGGGAGGTATACATATCTAATAATAGCAATAAATAAATAGCTGTTGTTGCWGTGGGGGGGCCATAAAAGTGCTGAAGACAAAAGCGGCAGCAAATCGTTGTGCGCTAGCCAAGTTTGTATACTAATTCGCATTGGCGTTTGCATACCAAAGCGCTTTGGGCCCAACATTTATGGCATTAATAAACTTTTATGGCCGACATTTTCGCAAGTCGCTGCTCTGCGGTCGCTGGCTTTGTCACACACCACACACACACACACCACAGTGAACTATACTGGCAATGTAAGCCTTTGAACAAGTAAACGACAATTTAGCTTATCTTCCGCTTTTCCTTTATTCCATTGCAGGCCAAAATGATTGAGACGAGCGGACATGCCTGGATGGGTGCACCGGCAACAGGCGCATCTGTGGCGGGTGAGTTAAAGAGAGTCAGAGAGGGAGTGAGAGAGAGAGAGAGAGAGAGAGAGTGGCAGAGCTGCCTTCGTGCAAAACAATTAGCATAGAGTCCGGAACAGGACAACTAAGTTTTTGTACCTGTTTTTTTTTCACTTTTCTCCAGCAGACAGCTATCAGTATCAGTTGCAGTCCATGTGGCAAAAGTGCTGGAACACTAACCAACAGAATCTGGTGCAACAGCTGCGCTTTCGTGAGCGCGGCCCACTCAAGTCCTGGCGCCCGGAAGCCATGGCCGAGGCCATATTTAGCGTCCTAAAGGAGGGCCTCTCACTCTCGCAAGCCGCTCGCAAATACGACATACCCTATCCGACGTTCGTCCTCTATGCAAACCGTGTGCACAATATGCTGGGACCCTCCCTCGACGGCGGCAGCGATCCACGGCCCAAGGCCCGCGGCCGACCCCAACGCATTCTGCTCGGCATGTGGCCCGACGAGCTCATACGCAGCGTCATCAAGGCCGTCGTCTTTCGTGACTATCGCGAAATCAAGGAGGACATTAACGCACATCCCTATGCCAATGGCCAGCCGCATGGTGTAAGTAGAAATTTATGAAATATTTCAAATACATGCATGTACATAATATGATGTATGATGTACGCATAGATCATTTTTAAATAAAATTTACAAATAATTTAAATTAAAGAGATAAAGCTATGCATTTAAGGAAAATTATAGGAAATGCACGAATTCTATTTCAAATCAAGCAAACTATGAAATTTCTACTTCTTCTTTGCCTAAGTTTCTATAAAAATACTTCAGACAATAACTGGAATATGATAATATATTTTTCATTCTATTAGAAGATTTCAATAAATGAAATATATTTATATAATAATGAGATTTTTGTCAGATAATAGATAATATTTCGAATATGATAATAGATAGTTCAATCTTTCAGAAGATTTCAATATATGAGATATATTTTTGGACTCAGATAATAAACAATTGTTTTCAATCTATAAGAATATTTATATAAATCAAACATTGTAAATTTTTAGCTGAGTCTAAAATATCTCGAATATGATAATGGACATTTCATTCTTTCAGAACACTGCAATAAGTGGGATATATTTTTTTTATTCTAGATTAAAATACACGTTGTAAATAAAAGTAAATTTCTTTACAGAAAACGTCAGCTATAACTTTAATAAACCCCTTTTAGAGCTAGATACTTTGAATGACAAAAGCAGTTTTATTACAACATATTGGTTTTTATTTCCATGACAATTATCAGCCCTATTAAAATCGTCTCTATATATATACTGACTGCCATTGTGAAACAAATTTCAGCAAAATATCATTAGTAAAGTCTTCAAGTTAAACGTCTAGTTTGCATAAAAACAAATAGTCAAATATATACGCATAAATATAGTTTGCTAATCGTGGAGATAAAACCAGATAAGATAGAAAGTTCAAATATTAATAAATAGTATTATTGAAAACTCGTTTAAAAGCCATCAACACGTATTTAATAAACACATTTAGAAACACGCAAAGTTTGGCTATTTCGATATTTATTTAAACTCAATATTTTCGCTAACGATATTTATGCCAACTTCAATCGATCTTAACGCACTGTCTTCCCCATCTTTTCTCCTCCCCCTTCTCTACATCTACCCATAGGCCCACTACGGCAGCAACTCGGCAGCTGCTGCCAATGGCTATCACAGTGCAGCAGTCAAAATGGCGCCGCCCGACGCCAGCAATCCGCTGAGCACCATGACAGAGACGCTACGCCGACAGATACTCTCCCAGCAGCAGCAGCAGCAACAGCAGCAGCAGCAACACCAACAACACCAGCAACAATCGCCGCATATGCAGTCGATGAACATGTACAAGTCGCCGGCTTACTTGCAGCGCTCCGAGATCGAGGATCAGGTGTCAGCGGCAGCGGCTGTGGCCGCCGCCAAGCACCAGCAGAACGAGCGACGCGGATCGGAAAATCTGCCCGATCTGAGCGCATTGGGTCTGATGGGTTTGCCTGGCCTGAACGTGATGCCCACGCAACAGCAGCCGGGCGGTCATCAGCGCGGCGGACCGGGCAGCGGCGGCGCTGCTGCCGGCGGTCTGCATCCCAACGCGGCCAGCTATGCCCGTGAGCTGTCGCGTGAGCGAGAGCGGGAGCGCGAGATGTCGCGCGACCGCGAGCTGAAGGAGGCAATGCACGCACGACAGTACGGCAATCAGTCGCGCGGCTCGAACTCGTCGGCGGGCAGCAAGTCGGCGGCATCAAGTCGTCCCGGTGCCGCCGCCTCGCCCTACTCCGCGCACTATGCCAAGCACGCCAAGGAGCATCCCAGCTATGCGTACAACAAGCGCTTTCTCGAGAGTCTGCCGGCGGGCATAGATTTCGAGGCGATTGCGAACGGTCTGCTCCAGAAGTCGGTGGACAAGAGTCCGCGCTTCGAGGACTTCTTTCCCGGCCAGGACATGAGCGAACTGTTCGGCAGTGCCGATGCCAGCGCCGGCTCTGGTGCCGGCTCAGCGGCAGCAGCAGCAGCCGCCGCCGCAGCAGCGGCCGCCTATGCGCCGCCGGGCATGCGTGAGTCGCCGTTGATGAAAATCAAGTTGGAGCAGCAACAGGCCGCTGAGCTGCCGCACGAGGATTGAGTGGAGAAGTTGCGGCCAGGCCGCTGGGTTGGCGCTTTTGAAGAGGCCAACCCTAATCAATTTGGACTGCTATTTTAAAATGCCCCCTCAAAATAAAAAAAAAA